CCCTCCTCACCTTTTCTGCTGTCTCGCCTCGGTGTTAGGCGCGTGAAGGCGGAGACGGTCCCCACTAGTGGGCGCGGGCCCCATGTGCTTGCGAGCGGGCGCAATAGGCGAGACGTGGGCGGGTAGGCGCAAGATGTGAGATTGGGGGGGGGGGGGTAGCGGCGCGGGTGTCCGGGCATTAGCCATGCCCAAAAACCACAAGTAGGAGTATATGGTAGCTCACTTCCACTTTCTCAATGTTTCTTGTCATGATTATATCCCTCTTGATCATATATTCATGCACTTCTATTCGAATTAATGCTTGTCTTATTAATAAAGTCAACTGGAGACAGAGATTCATATTTCTGGTTAGTTGTGTGATGGCCCAATGATGTTAAATCCGGCCAACACACTGATAAAAGACAAGATCGTTTGGACCGCACATGGCCAAGATACACAGGGGAGACAGATCTAAACGGTGAGGCAAACCAGTAGGTCGGCTAGGCCCATTCGGTGCTAGTTCTTTGCCAAAAAAAAATCCACGAACGCCTCCTAGAAAGATCTATTGGGAAGACCCACGGCAGGGTGTCCAGAGAAGTGCCGGACAATAAGGGGGTTGGAAGAGCTTGAGGTAGAAGATAAAAAAGTAAGATAGATTGATTTTTTGATGCTTGGATTTATGGATCTCTTAATCGGTTGTGATCCTCTCATATAAATAGAGGGATGGTCTTATCCTAGTAGAAAAATAATTTCTTACGGAATCTACAAGTTTCCCATGAGATCGGAAGTTTTCAAAAGAAAATCATGAATTGGCCTTGGATCTTCCAAAACTGGCTCAGGCTGGTTCTAAACGTGGCCTAGGCCAGTTTAAACAGTAAACGGTGCGGAGTCTACACAAATTGGTCTAGGCTGGTTTTTATGTCATCCAGCTCTCCAAACTGGCCTTGGCTGGTTTTTTCTTGTGTCTACTCAAATTTCCCCAATTTTAGTCTAAATTTGATCCCTTTTGTTTGCAGGTGATTTTTCCTTGTGTCCCCTCATATTCACACTTGATACATCAAATGCAAACTTCATCTTCTCTAACGGTTCTTGTCAATCTGCTTGAGAGAAAAGGAAGAGACTAATTTGGTTTGTGCTAGCCATACAAACCGCCGAAGCTTTTTTTGATAAATGATTAACAGAAAGAAACTCCAAGTGCCCTAACTTTTCTTTAATATTAAAGTGCAAGCCAACAAAAATAAAATCAACAAATATTTTCACAAATTGTTAAATTAAAACGTCAAGTTTTAATATCACTGAATCCATTAACATATCAAGGACAGACATGTTAGACCCTTGCTTGACCGATATCATATTATTTGACCGATATCATATTAGACACTTTAAGCTCACTGGCACTATTGTAAAAATATCCACAAAAATTTTCTTCTAGTTAGTAGTGTCCAAGAACCAATAGAGCAAAATTGCAATAAAGAATACCATAAGAATACAGTACCAGTAAAAGATAATGAAAAGTTACGACTCCTTGTATATTCCATGGTACTAGCTTTCATATAATCAAAATATGAGGTATGGTTTAGAATAACTCCCAGATATTTTAAAATGCACATCCAGACTTTCTTCCAGAGATTTATGAATTTTTTTTCATAAATCAGCTTAGAGCTTCATCCCATGAGGCCAGATTGGTGATTTGTGAAGTATTTATATATGCATTAGCTTTCTAGCTCCTAAAATGTGTCTTAGGAGGATTTGGCAACACTGGTTGCTGTTGAATTGCAATCGCCTCGTGTAGTAGAAGGCTGTGCAAAAGTGGCCATTGATAAAGTAGTACACCAAACCCTCCTAAACTAGCCCTATCTATTTCAGTTGATAAATAGGCTAATTTGGGCTGGTTAGCCGATGCATAGCTTGTTTTCCCTTCATAAAATTGAAGTTGAATGACACCTCATATTGAGGTTAACTAGCAACCGGGCCTAAAACACTAATAGATGCATCTTGAGAAAAAAATGGGAATTTCATATCTCTTTTCCCCCGTTTATTATAACCGTCCTTGCTAAGACTTCCACACACATATATGGATCTCAAAAGGCTTGGCTTGATCAGCTTGTAGCACATTCATCCTATGTAATAAAATGTCTTAGGGGAGGCAGACCTGTTTTTACCTCAGATATAGATGTAGCAGAAAGAGGATCAAAGTTAATATATCTTGGATCTTCTTGACAACTCCCCGCCAATCCACCTCCAAGCATGCAAGGACATACTCTAGATCGGCAACAGCTTGGGCCTTTGTCCTCTCCTCTAGCATCTTGTGAATCTCCTTAGGAAGTTGATCAGACCAAAGCCTAATGATGTTCATGGGATTGTTTATTTGGATCTAAAGACATATAATAGTAGATCTGTTTGCTTCTTCCCCAGCAAAGTCGCCAACAAGTATGTGTTGATGCTGAATGTGACCAACATACCGGTAGGGGCTAGATCGTCAGAGGTTGCACACGGCCTAGATATGCAGTGGAGTTAGGTGTAAATGGTGAGGCTGACTTAGTAGGTCAACGATGCCAATTTGACACTAGTTCTTCGCTTGAAAAACAATGAACACCTTCAAGGAAGACCTATCAGGGAGACACACAACAGGGGTTACCTAGAATCGGCAAGGTCACCTAACAAGGGGGGTAGAAGAGCTTGAGGTAGAAGATCGATAAAATGTAAAGATAGATGTGTTTTTTATGATTAGATAGATAGATCTCTCGATCGGCCATGATCCTCTCATATAAATAGAGGGACATGGTCTTATCCTAGTAGGAAACTTCAACACGTAATTTACATGCTTCCCACGAGATCAGATGAGTTTCAAAGGAAAAAAGACGAGTTGGAGACCAGACTACCAAAATCGGCCTGGTCTAGTTTATATAGGGCAATGTGGAAACTCAACAAAAACTACCGTAGGCCAGTTTTTCCAGGATGTTGCAAATTATGTTCGATTTGATAAAAAATCAATTCTTTTTGCTTTTTCTTATTTGCACGTGTTTTCTAATCCATTTTTAGCTCTCCGATCACAAATTGGATGTCAACACTTAGGTATAGACTAATAATTGATAAGGCAAGCAGTATATACCGTATTAATATTTTTTAGATAATGGATAGAAATCTGTCCTCACATGTGGATATACACAGCCAAAAGATTACATGAGACTTTAGACTCAAAGCCTCAAAACTGAGGTACGCAAAAAAATAAAGAGCAAAAGGACTAAGAGAGCTAGAAAGACTAAGCTTCCAACTTCTATGTCTCTGCTTCAAACTTGCTTTGATCTTGTGCACTGGCAACCTTCGCATTCTAGCTTACTTAGAAAACTCTTGATGTCAGGCCTGATCTTGTGCAGTAGTAATCCTTCACATCCTCATTTACTAGAAACTTTGATGTTAAAACGAAGCCACCAAAGTGGAAACCGTATGTGGATCTGTAGAGACGACGTCTTCAAGAAGGAACACGATGTAGGGACACCGCGCTGCCTGTCCAACATGGACAGAGATTTCTCCCGCAAGATCCACACCAGAGAGAGGAGATGCATCGACAAAACACCTCCAAGAAACAACCTTCCAAAGGCATCGTCATCGTCAGCCCAATAGCAGGAGGCCCTGTGTCACCTCCACCAGCGAGATCTGTTTGCTAACATAATATATCATATTAACATAGTATATCATTTTGCTAACATTTTATTTTCAGCTATCTACATTATGTGGTGCTGCCCTTTAGCTATTATTCTAGAGTGTTTTACATTCTCAATTGTGGACTTGTGTTGCGCTTACACGCCATAGATTTTTCACATGTCAAACTATGGTGTTGCCCTTACATTTCTTGCATATCTATGGTCTACACTGTTTTGATATGTTTGAACTGTTTCGTATCAATGCTTATATTTCTCATGCACTTTAACTAATGCCCTTAAGCTGCTAGTGTGGTATATTGGTATTTGGTAAACCTGGTTTTGCCATGGCTATTAAACATATCAGCTTATAGTTCAGAAATTAAATTGCTGTATGAATTCTCCAGTGGGGATGGATCTTATTCTGAACACAATGGTTGATGATGGATCTATAAGAGTGACCACGCACTAATAAGTCAAAAGCTTAATTTGTTTCCTAGAGGAACAAAGAGATCTGCTCATCTGTAGGAGCACGTTTTTTTGGCATATGGTTTCGTGCAGAAGTGTGAGATTTCAACGTTTGGGCCAGGGGCACCAGTTAAATTGTTGTATCTGAATACCACATAGTCCAAACACATAACAATTGCCTTCGTTAGTTATATGTATGTTTTGTTACTATCATATGCATGTTTGCTGAGTATGATCCATCATACTTACCCTTGCTTTTGGTGTCCTTTTTGCAGGATATGAGCAACACTGATTAAACTATAGGCTGGAAGCATAAACAACTGGATATAGCAAGAGCTGTAGCCCTTATATATATTTTGTTTTCCATTCATGTAATGTAACAAAATTATCGATAAATGAAGAACGGTTATACTAAGTCATGTCCAGTCATATAAAAAGCGGTGGCTATCCCGTGCAACCCTGTTTAGAGGCATCCATGGGAACTGTCAAGTTTTATCCTGTAATAACAATTGCAAGTGACTTAACCATAGCCATTCTGACAAACCACACAACATTCAATAGATGTTTTAGAGGCATCCATGGGAAATTCACGCATGAATTTATTCATCCTGTAATAACAATTGCAACTTTGCAAGTGCCTTAACAAAACGCATTCATTCTGCAGTTCACAACAAAGCACAAACAATATAATAGATGTTTCCGAACTGTGTGATCACAGTAATACATAGTCGACCGATAGATCAAGCTTGTGATCATCTAGCTACAAGTATTGCATTTTGCAGCACAGATGACAGTAAGATGTTTTGACAAACTAGTTGCGCTCACTGCTGGAGGACGATCCAATCTTGTCGATCAAGTTTAAAGTGACGAGTTCTTCTCTAGGAGGATTCGCAACTGGTTCGGGGATCCCAGTCATGTTGTCGCCTCCTCCTCCTTCTTCTTGGTCTCCGCGACCTTGGCCAGCTGGGAAGGACCAGCTAACCCAGCCCGCCGTGACGAGCTCTCCGGCGCATCTACCTCCAGCATCGGGTTCCTCCCTATACCGTTCATGTACCGGATCTGTGTGGCGCCATAAATCAACAAGAGGAAGCTCAAGGCGAGTCAGACACAAGCTAATATAAGGAACTCTAGTAGTGCTGCTCGCTTGAATAAAATCATGCATGTATTAGTCTTACCCTCTTTCCTGGCCAGTTAGGGAAGCCGTTCTGGTGGCAGAGGCGCCGGAGGTAGGTGATGGGGACGTTCAGCTCCGTGGCGGCGTCCTTCAGCCGCATGTGGAGCATGCCACGGACGATAGCCCATTTTGGGGGTGCACCCTGCAACCTATTCCTCTTCCCGCCGGCCATGGTGGTGGTATGCTGTTGAGAGTTTGAGATGCGACTTGTGTCTGACGGAGAGGAGAGCGTGTTGGCCGGGTTTATACAGCACAAACAAGCTAGGGGTAAGGGCATCATCGTCCTGGCGGCGTGTTTATCTAGGGTTTGCCTCCCACAGCGCCGCCACGGGATCAGACGACGGTGCATGGAATCGATCGAATCACGCAGTCAAAGGATGAAGGGGCCCCTTGCTCTGCATTTCTGGCTAGTTTTCATTATGGGATGGAAATGTGCGCGTCAGTGGCTGGCAGTACTACCTGGCACCTTGTTGGATAAGTACTGGATATAGGTCTGGACACGCAACAAGCTCCAGCGACAGTAAAAAAATAGAGGCAGCAGGATTTCGCTGGTTGGTGACACTAATGCATACTATATATATTATTATTTTGTTTTCGTTTCACACATTGCCAGCACATTTCTTTTAGACGAAATATCATAGAACTTTACGTTTTTACTTTCATTTTCTATTGAATTGCTTGTAGCCAATTTGAATAACTTATACCCTGTGCGCCGCCCATACATGACATACTCATACACCCATGATGCATCTGTATGACATGTGGGTTTGGGTACCATTTACCTAAGGCCCCGTTTGGGTCCTTGAAATTAAATTCATTCTAATAATTATAATTTAGGCATATATTAATTAAGCTAGCTAATAAGGTTGTATATAGAATATATTTAAATATTATTATTAGCCATACAAGGGAGATATTTATATGTTGTATTTCTATTGTAGAGAAGTGAGTTTAAGATCATGCTATAAGTTGTAGAGTATAAATATAGCATGGTGATCTATATAATCAAATTCCATCTCCCACCCTATGAATTTGAGATATGTTTATTTGTGAGCTTGGTAAAGTTGTGAAAAATTCCAAACCAAATAGCCTAATCTATTAAGTAGATTCCAATTCCTCCAAAATGAAATCGGGTAACCGAGATCAAATATAGAATTTAGAAATTAGAAAATAGTGTAGGTTCCTAATACTTTAGCAAAAACAAAGTGTGGATTTATGCAACCCAAAAAATGTTAGTTTGTGAAAGTTCACTTGAGACAAGCATGGTTAGCATTTGCAATAGTACACGATGGCTGGTCCTCCTCCAAGCAAAGTAAAGAACTAACCATGTGTTTAGTTTTGGGACCACGTGGGTTAACAGTAGCTATTCATGGGCCCCGCCTGTTATCCTCTTTATTTTCTATTTTCCCCACGTTAAATTCTTCCTCAGGCCTTCTCAACCAAAGCCAATCATGCACCGCCGCTCCCCGCATCCAGCCGAGCATGCGTCGTCGCTAACCGCCTCTCGCCGCCATGGTCCGGATCTCGTCCCGCGCCACCATGCATGGCCGGGGGCCGGAGCTCGCCCCACGCTATGGCTGGGGCTGGAGCCCGCCTCGTGCCGCCATGGCCGAAGGCCGAGCTCGCTCTGTGCATCCGGCCACCGTGCCCCGCCTCGCACTGCCTTGCTCTGGCCGGCCGCCACTTCCACAAGCTTGCCTGCGCCCGCCGCCACCTCCTCGAGCGCCCACGCTGGCTAGTCGCCCCTAACGAGATGGAGGAGAACGGCGTCCATGTGGGTCGAGCTCGTCCCCTCGAATGGAGGGGACCATTCCAACCCGCATCTGATGGTATATTTCCTCCTAGATCTGACCCAAACCCACACGGATCCTCAACCAAACACATCTCCATCTGGGTCAAACCCGGGATATCCCAGTCCAACCCTCAAACCAAACACATGGTAAATTTACGAGTCACTACTAGAAACTGCATTACCCCTATGTGCCGAAAAACCGACAAGGAAAACAATCAAGGAAATCAATTTTGTTGTGAACCTATAGGAAAATCTCGTCAAGGATTTATAGTTCGACAGAGAAAATCATCTTCCTGTGAGTTTCACGACAGAAAGATATCTCTAACGGTATTTCTTTTATGGTAAGCTGACAGAAAACTAATAGCTCTTAGGTTTTCTTTGGGACATATTTTTTCAATGAAAGATCATGGAGAGGCAGCTTATATTTTGGGCATAAATATCTATAGACATAGGTTGAAAAGGATGATTGGATTGAGCCAAAGTACGCATATTGACAAGGTGTTGAAATTGTTTAAAATGCAGGACTCCACGAAAGGTTTCTTGCCAATGTCACATGGCATTACTCTTAGCGATACTCAGTGTCCTTCAATATCTGATGAGTGAGATATGTTGAGTGTGTTCATTCTGTATGCCTCGATAGTCGGATCCATCGTGTATGCCATGCTTTGTACAATACACCCAGACGTTTCTTAGGCTCTAATTATTAAGAGCAGGTTCCAATCTAACTCTGGTGAGTTTGACTGGTTGGATTTAAAGAATATCCTCAAGTACTTACGAAGGACTAAGGATATGCTCCGGGTTTATATATAGATGAGGAAGAGCTATTTGTAAGTGGTTACATGGATGCTAGCTTCCAAACTAACAGAGACGATAGCAAGTCGCAATCTGGTTTTGTATTCTTCCTCATTGAAGGAGCGATAAGCAGGAAACCTTCCAAGTGAGAGATGGTAGCTAATTCTATGATGAAGGCAGAGTATATCACAACTTCGGAAGCTGCCAAGGAGGTTGTTTGGATCAAGAAGTTTGTTTTTCAATTGAGTGTGTTTCCTAGTGCACCAAGTCATTTGGACCTCTAATGTGATAATAGTGGTGCCATCACACAAGCTAAGGATCCTAGGATGCACAAAAAGTTCAACACATATATACATCAGCGCTATAACTTTATTCGTGAGATCATGGAAGAAATGATTTGATGATATGCATGGAGCACACGTATTTGAATATTGTTGATCTATTGATTCCATGACTAAATCATGAGGCACATACAAGTGATGGGTATTAGATAATTACATGATTGACTTTAGTGTGAGTGGCAGATGATGCTATGCCATCCCGTGTTTATGCATTTTGAATAAAGAATTATTGGTTCCTTGAATTATCACTACCACAGGAATTGTTTTCGCCAACACATTTTCACTGCTAGTTTTATCGGAATGACTATTGGCGTGGTAACATATATCATCGTCGATTTGTAATAAAATAGGAGGTGAAAGTTATTTTCATTGTCGGTACTAGAGAAAAACTGGTGGTGAAAATGCTTCTAATTTTCATCGCTTGATCAGGATTGACCGACGGTGAAAATCCAAAACGATTCACCGCGTCTGCCACTCTGTCCAACTGTCATGTGTATTGTGGTTCTTTAGAGTGGATGACAAGTGGGCCAATGCTCCCGAGGGCGCCTCGGGGTTGGCTGATAGAGGGAGGACACAGATTAGGGGTCCCACACTCCCACTCCGGCAAGCCCCATTCTACTCTCTCTCCTTCCCACAAAGGCTCCCTCCATCTCTCTCCCTCTCTCTCTCTCTCTCCTTCCTCCCTACCTTCCACATGCACCAGCAGGCTGCGCCCCAAGCGGCGGTCGGGCGCATGGCCACATCTCCTTGGTGGTGGCCCGATGCTCCCCTTGATGGCCAAGTGTGTGGCTGTGGGTCCCAGTCCCCAGTGCGCTGCTCCCTGGTCTCCCACTGGTCTGGGGTAGTGTGGTCCGATAGATGTGGTCTGATTTGTCGAGGCCTCTCCAATCCAGTAAGTGGCAGGCTAATTCGATGAGCAGAGGTCAAGGTAGGTATTCTCCTCTCTCTCCATCATCAAGATCTACTCTCACCCCTATATATCTATCCTTTCTCGGCAGATCCCATGCGAGTACAAGGGTGACAAAGGACGAGAATAAGTTCTTAACAAGGATGTCGCCGCTAACAAGCCCATCGCAACACTAGTTGAGGAAACATGGATGATGTTGAGGACTACATAGACGAGATAGTGGTGGGCAGGATCCAGAGCACTAGGTAGGGATTGTAGTGTTCTAATTATCACTACCGATTCGTTTAAGAAGCCGGCCAGTGATGATCATTTTCACCATCAATTTCAAATTGGCAGTGATGAAGTTTGTTATCACCGTCCACTTTCACCGTGATGTGAAAAAACACCGGTGAAAGGGTTTTAGACCTGACAGTAATCAATTTTCTTTAGCAGTGTACATTTCTTACAATGACTAGAAAATATGTGAATTGTTCATGAAACTCTTTGTTTTTATAATACTGTTATTCATAATATCACTTTCTTATGTCACATTATATGGGACAACAATAATTTTATAGACTAGCACATGTACTAATTGATGATCATGTTTCACAGATCATAGATATAGAGTTATCAAATTAATATTTTGCACAGATGATAGAGATCATGGTGTTGAATTGACCCACTCCTGGACATCGCTAGGGTCGTTATGCTAATATGTGTCTTCAAGCGTTCTCGAGTGGAATATGAGTTGGATCCTTAGATATGAGATCATCATTATTTCTCATTGAGTGTACTGATGCATTTTGGGGTTGCCAAATGCTACTTCGTAACTTGATAGTTATAAAAGCAGTTATCGGATGTACTATGAAACATAGAATGGGATGTGAGTGGATCAAGATGGAATTTTTCCTCCTTTGTAATAGGAGAGATGTATCTGGACCCCTCAATGTAGTTGGATTAAGAAAGTGCATAGCCATGCCAATATGATTAAAGAGTTAATGATGTGACTAGCTAAAGTGTTAGCCATGAGTTGTAATCCACTACAAGATCGAGCGAATCTTTGAGCTATCACTAGGGCTGCATAAATATGTCACCTTGAGTTTGACTAATATCATCACGTGGCATAAGGATCAAGACATGTGTATATCAAGGTTGAACTGATATGATATTTATGTGTATACATGATTAAATATTTGCTGCTAGGCACTGCTATTGATTGATGGCTCAAAATGGTTTTTGGTCATGGCCGTCTACACATGAACCTAATGGCTCACAGACTTAATGGGTTGAAGTATACACATGATGATTGGCTCTAGTGCAGGTGGGAGATTATTGGTGATGTGGCCAAGAGGCAATCA